TTGAGTCCCGGACCTGGCAGCGTACTTTCTCTCTCTCTCTCTCTCTCTCTCTCTCTCTCTTGTCTTGCTCTGATCAAATTGAAAATAACTATAATGATAAATAAAATAAAGAAAGTAATTTTTTAAAAAAGAAAGACAGACTGCTGGAAGGGAAGTTAATTTTGGCTGCAGGGGAATCCAGGCCTGGTTTTCCTTTCTGTCTTATCCTGTGTAATCCCACCCTGGACCTCCTTGCCACTCCACAGCCACTGCTGCTTTCCCCAGAGCTCCTGCCTCCTCCCCTTTTAGAGACCTCTGGGAAATCCCACCAACCCGTGCCCTCTCACCGCACACCTATGCACGTGATCTGAGCAGTAAGACATGGGTGGACTGGAATCATCTGGCAACTGGCTTGGTAGTGAGTCCAAAGCTGCCTTCCAAAGGGAACAACCTTTAATGAATCAGTGATGTTTATTGAGCACTTACTATACTTACTATGTGGGGTGGGGGTGGGGGTGGGGGTATCGGAAGAATGGGAGCCATGTGGGAGATCTGGCGAGGCTGAAAAGCTGACCTTGGGCTTGATTGGGTGGGATGAGGGGCTGGGCCTGGCATGGTCGAACTTGTGTGAAATGGCATCAGAGACCAAAGGGGCATTATTGCCCACACCCTAGTTCTCCACTGAGGCCCAGGGAGAGAGGTCCAACTTATCAATGGCTGAGCAGTCCACGAAGCCTTGGGGGTAGCTATTGGCCTGGAATGGGTCCAGCGGAACCTTGGTGATGTGGGTATTGTCACAGACAAGTCGTGAGAAGGACATTTTCCGTAGAGAATCCTGCTGCTTCTCTGTGAAGACCCCAGGGTTTTCCCACCAGAACCTGCAGAGATAGAAGAAGGTCACTGCATATAGTCTAGCGGTGGCCCTCGCCTCTGCCAAAGCGGGGGAGGGAGCCAGCAGGAACATGGGAAAGGCCCACCACCATGCTGAGATCTGGAGCTGTTGGGAAGGGGCTCCTCCCTCCCTCCCTATCCTCCCTGGCTGTGGCTGGGCTTGCCTGTCTCCATCACGGATCTGCTGGAACTGTTTGCCCAGGAGGCAGGCCAGGAGAGGCCCCACCCGGCCTCTCTTGACCAGGGGCTCAGCAACCGCCCCCATCCAGATGTCGATGTTGTTTGGGGTCCCGTAGAGGCTCATCAGCTTCTTGGCCAGCATCTTGTTCTTTAGCACCGCGCTCAGCTCCTTCAGTGTCTCTGGCTGTGAGAGGCCACAGAAGCCTCTCCAGGAGTTGTATCCTAGGGTGCAGAGACCGAACCTGTCTCATCCCAGGGGTTTCCAGCTCAGAGCACCCCTGTGGGGGCATACCCCCTCCAGGTCCATCAGCTCCAGAAAGTCTGGGCTCACAGCCCTTGAGACAGGGGAGGTGGTGAGCCATTGTTCTATGTCTGGGACACTTCAGCCTCATGGGTTACATGGTGCTTACTATGGGTCCAGACACTATTCGTGTAAACTGAAGAAAAGACATGCTAAGGAGCTTGGCCAAAGTCCCACTAGCCAATAGCATAGCTGGGATTTGAACTCAGGCAGCCTGGCTCTTAATTACTACATTAAACTGCCTTTCATGGGTACAAAAAAAAGGTCCAACAGTCATTGGTTTCTCCCTATTCCTTCCTTAGTCTTTTCTGAGTTTCTTTTTTTAAAATAATGATTTATTTTATTTTATTTTTCATTATTATCACTGAAAAAAAAAATTGCTATAGGGCATGTGTGCTCATCAGAGAAAGAAAGCGAGGAAATGAGCTGCCAGGTCTGGGGACTCAGACTGTGGATGGCCATGTGAGTATCCAGTGCCTTAACCACCATGCCACCTGTTGGCCCCTTTTCTGAGTTTTTAAACTGATTTTTCAAGTTAGTTGTTGATCTCATTTTCAGTTGAGGAACTCCAAGATAGTACCAGATGAATGCTCTTTTCTTGCGTTATGGAGAATGGAAGATCATATATCTTAGATAAACTAAGTGGGTTTTAGAAACCATCTTTGCTGGGCCAGCCTGTGGCCTGGTGGTTAAGACAACTGGATCTCCATGGCTGACCACCTGGTTCAAGTCCTGGATCTGGTGGATTGAAAAATGTCCTAGGTGCATGTGCATGTGTGCCTAAAATCTTGAAAGGAGGGAGAAATGGAGAAGTAACTGTGGCATGACCGTGCCTCATGGAGGGGTGCTTTCTCACTTTCCCTCTCTTTGTGTCTGTCTCTCTGCCTAGTGAGCACATGTGGTGAGCAAAATGAAAAATAAAACAACTGGCCTGTTTCTTCTTGATCAGATCCTCAGGGTTATAGAGGAGAGTCTCCAGGAGCCCAGAAAATAGCAAAATGTCCCCCAGCCCAGACCAGCCCCCAGGCCCTCTCACCAGGCATCCCATGGTCCCGGCAACGCTGTATGTTGATGGCAGCCAGGTCAAAGCCATGGATCTTGTGAGTTGGCTGGAAAAGCTTGTTACGGAGCTCTCCTGTCATCATTTTATCCTGAATCATTAACTTGGCCTTCTTGGCCAACAGGCCCCGCACCAGAGGATCAATGCCACCTGCAAAGGGAGATCCAGAGGCCATCCTCAGGATGGGGTGGGGTGGGGACACCCTCCAAACTGACCCTCACACCAGTCATTTCCTGTCAGTTGAAAGTAGGGTCAATTGAATCTCTCAGGTTGGAAGCAAGGAGGGAAGTACGTAGGGTGCATTCAGGGGAAGAGAGGGCCAGACTGCCTGCTTCAAGGGTGGCAGAAAAGGGCTTTTACAGGATGGTGGCCTGAATACAACAGCAAGATTTTTTCTAGTTCTAATTCATGGAGTCAATTCCTTCTCTTAGGCTCCCTGAGGAACACTGTGGCTTGGGGAGAGGGAGTACAAATCCTCAGGAAATGGCCCTGACTTGTTAGGCCTTAAGTAAAGCCAGTTTCGATGCAGCCCAGCCTAGGGATAAAGGTGATCTGGGTCTAACCTCGCACCTCATGGAGGCAGAAGGCTCTAGAGGAGAGTAGAAAAGAGCAATTTATTTACCAAACCCATGAATTCTTTCTACAGAGGTCAAACAAAAATGATTAAACCAATGCTCAGTGAGATTCATTCATTTGCTGGAGGTCACACAGGAAGTGCTTGGAGGCTGACTTCCAAGTCAGGTTTACCTATGCTCAGGCCACAGAGTGGGAGGGCTGGGCATCTCTGAAAGGACGTACCGTCTTTGACCATCCTCCAGGTGTTAAAGTAGAGAGTGTGTAAGGGAAGTTCTGGTTCTGGACCCCATGGTTGATAATTTTCATCTAGGCGGGACACCGTAGAGGGGATCTCCAAGTGGCCAAAGCGGAAGCCGAAGGTAAAGACATTGGAAATTCGAGGATCCACAGATTCATTGTAGCCTTGATATGGGGGGATCCACTTCTGCATCTCATCCCCTAGCACAATGGGTAGGTAATCCCTAAAGGTGATAATCTGAAGAGAGAAAAAGTCTTGAGGGAAGGGTGTGAGTAGGTTTAAATTTCTGAAAAGGGAGGCTGTAGCTGGGATAATTAGTCGAAAATCAAGAATGGAAAATGGATAGCATATGTGACCCACTTTCATTCTTATGACCCTGCAGACATCGCTAATCAATTATGACATTCTTTTCTGCTGAACTCTCATAATTTGTCTCAAATAGGCTGTACTTACTAATCAGACATTTAAAATTGACCCTTGATATGAACTCTCTTTGCCATCTTTGCTCTAAGTTTGTGAACTCGATGCTAAAGAAGCAGTACTTGTGTGTCATTGTAATGTGACAATGTCATCCTATTAATCTTTTTCCCATTAATTTTTCAATCTTATTTTCTTTTTTTAGAGGGTTTTTAAATTTTTCAGATTACTTTCACATTTTACATAAGGTCCCCATCATGATGTATATAATACATATACAAATTTTTTCAACAGAAAACTTTACTTTTTTAATCTGCTAAATGTTTCTTCCCTTCGCACCTCATAACCACCTTCTCCCACCTACTCTACTCTCTACCATCCATTCTCTTCCCTTACAGTTTGGTATCTATACTTATCCTCTCTACTACCATATTTTCAATCTCTTAATTTCTTCCACAGAGTGTAGATACTTGGTACAAATTGAGTGGGGATATACAGTATATATCTTTCAAAGTCTGGTTTCCTTTGCTCAACATTAAGTCTTCTATATCCATCTACTTTGAATCACATGATAACATCATCTTATTGTTTCTTTAGCTGAGTAATATTTAATAGTATTTATGTACCACAGTTTTAAAAACCAATCATCAGTTTTTGTACACTTAGGTTGGTTCCAAGTTTTGGCAATTGTGAATAAATGCTATAATAAGCAGATGTGCAAGTGTCTGAGTATTTTCCTATCCTTTAGGTAAATACCAAGGACTGAATTTACTGGGTCATGTGGTCATTCTATTTGTAGGTTTTTTTCTTTTCTTTTCTTTTCTTTTTTATGAACCTCCACATTGTTCCACAGAGGTTGTACTAACTTACATTTCCACCAACAGTGTAAGGGGTTCCCTTTTCATTACAGCCTCATAAGTACTTTATTTTTTTTTAATCCTAGCCATTCTAACAGGGGTTAAATGGTATTTCATTGTGGTTTTTGTTTGCATTTTCCTTATGACAACAGACTTTGAACATTTTTTCATATACCTTTGGCCCTTTGTAAGTCTTTTTAAAAATTATTTATTTAATTATATTCATTCATTGATTTATTTTAATTTGACCAGAGAAACACACACACAGAGTGAGAGAGAGAGAAAGAGAGCAAGTGAGAAAGCAAGCTACCAGGTCCAGGACTCGAATCATGGACAGCTATGTGGGAGTGTCCAGCACCTTAACGACCACTCCACTTGAAGTTCCTGGTCCTTTGTAAGTCTTCTTTGGAGAATTGTCTATTCAATTAATTCGCCTATTTTTAAATTGATTTTTTTTAAAAAATAGGTGAGCTGCTTTAATTCCCTATATATTTTGGCTATCAATCTCTTGTCTAAGGAATAATTTGCAAATATTTTCTCCCATTCTAAGGGTTGTCTTTTCACTCTAATTAGTGTTTCCTTTGCTGTGAGGAAGCTTTTTAGCTTGATGTAAACCCATTTGTATATTTTTGGGATTACTGGCTGTGCTTTAGGCAGTCTTATTTAAGAAATATTTGCCTACAGGAAGGCCCATACACAGGGGAAAAGGCCAGGAAAGGATGACCATCTGCAAGCCAAGGAGAGAGAAATCAAACCTGCCAATACCTTGATCTTGTCTTCCAGTCTCCAGAACAATGAAAAATTCTGTTATTTAAGCCACTCAAAATTCCAACCTAGCAAATTAATACAAGCCTTAACTCACACAATATTTAGGAAGACTTAAAAAATAAATTCTATTGGGTGATTTTTCTACACCTTCAGCAGCAAGGTTTCTGTGTCATATATATATATATACATATGTACATATATAGATATATGTACATAATTGCCAGAGGTTTGTGTGCTTCCCAGGTAAAAGGTAGAGGAGAGGGACATGCCTGCTGGGGCATGGTTACACCGTAGTCTCTTCTCTTCTTCCATTTCTCCATCCTATTGGGATTTCAGACACACATACACATGTGCCTGGCTTGGTTTTCAAGCTGCTGAACTGAGATTCACAGTATGGTTGGGGATATGGGATCTGGCTCCCTTAGCTAGTAGGCTATGGGGCTGGCCTAGGGTCTAATTTTTTTTTAAAATTGAGTTTTGAATCTTTTGAGAAAAAAATGAAAAAGAATAAATGTATTTGTTACACTGAAACATGGCATGGGGCTTCTGGTTCTAGAATGAGATGGAACAGACTAATTGTCTTTTTTCCTTCCCACGCAGAATAACTAAATATCCTGGAAATTATTCAATAGGCAATAATAAAAGGAATCTGAAAACTAAAAAGAAGAAGGTAGACTGACTGGAGACTTCAGGACTTAAAGAAGGACAACATGGTGCATTCCCACATATCCCCAGACTAAGTGCAGGAGAGGATGACAACGTGGAAGATCCAGCAAGAATAAAGAAAAGTACCACCCCCTGGAAAAAAAAAAAAAAGCCTGTTCTTTCCTTCCAAAGGACTGGGAAGACAAGGGAAGTTCAGCAGATATATCTAGTAGAGATCTCTCAACTCCACTTCACAACACAAGCCCTGCCGGTCCTAGTTCTTGGGCCCAATCCAGGCTGGCAGATGTCCTGATTGGCCTACAGTGGTGGTAGCAGTGAAGCCCTGTGTCTCTCTTTGTATTTTAACCCTGGCTCTTCACCAGTAAGTCCCAGGTACAGTGGCTTCTGCTCTTCTAGATTACCTAGCAACAGCAGGCAGCCAGGAAGTACCTTAGTGACCTGTAGACAGCACCAGCAGGGATTGAGTGGGAAGCTCAGAAGCACCAGAAAATGAAGCAGACCAGAATAACACTGCAAAGGTTCAGGAAACTAAGCTGACATTGGAACTACAATCCATAAAATAGTTCAGAACCCACATGCTAACATAAGGTAACTATATGCCAAGACACAAGACTTAAATAGAATTAAATCTCTTAACCCCTAACCAAACTGTCTAGAATACAACTAAAAATCATTCATCACTCCAAGAACCAGGAAAGAGACATTTTGAGTGAGGAAACACAATCCACCATTGCCAATACTGACATGAATCAGATGTTAGAACTGGCTGATAAAGATTTTAAAGCATTTATCTTAAAAAAGCTTTGATAATTAATTAAAGATTCTCCTAAAACAAAACAAAATACTTCAGCAAAAGTAGAAATTATAAAAAAAGAAACAAAGGCTAGTCCCACGCCTAGTGAGGAAGCCGGATCCCACATGACTGACCATGGTTGGTGTCTTGGCCTGCCAGTGACTTGAGAAACACATTGGGGCATTTCTGTGTGCATGCTCAAATCTCAGCAGGATGGAGAAATAGAAGAGAAGAGATTGTGTTGTGACCGTGCCCACTGGTGGATGCTTTCTTCCTCTCCTTCTCTCTGTCTCTCTCTAGTGAGCACACACTCGCTCTGACAATAACAAAAAAATAAGCTAAGGAGTCAGCCTGTGGCATGTGGGGTAAGGCAGCTGGATTCCCCAAGGCCAGCTCCATGGTTTGAGTCCTAGATCTGGCGACTTGAAACACACACTGGGTGAATGTACATGGATGCTCAAAATCCCAAGAGGAGAGTGAAGAAGAAGAAATTTTGATGTGATCATCCTTTTGGAGGATGTTTCTCACTTTCCTTCTCTCTCTCTCACTCTCTGTCTCTCTCCAGCAAGTGCATGTGCCCTACTGCAAAAATTAAAAAAAAAAAAGATAAAATAAAAAAGAAATGAATTGAAATTATAGAATTGAAAATACATACTGGGACCAGTAGATGGTATAATGGTTACTTCACTGTACTCTCATGTAATCTACCACAGTTCGAGCCTCAGACCCTGCAGCTTAAACTCATGCCAGGTGCATGTGCATGCATGCCCAAAGTTGAGACAGGAGAATAGAGGAGAAGGGATTGTGGCGTGGCCGTCCCCCCGAGGGATGATTTCTCACTTTATTTCTCTCTGTCTCTCTAGTGAGCACATGTATCCTATAGCAAAAATCTCTCTCTTAAAAAAAATATGTTAACAGAAATTAAATAAAGAAAAAAGTCCAACTCAATATTAGAGTGGAAATCACAGAGGATAGAATCAATAGAAGACAGATCAATAGAATTTACTCTAAGTAACAGAAACAGACTTTTTAAAAAACTCCAAAGAGGGACCAGCAGGTGGTGTGGTGGTTAGGGTGCTGGACACTCCCACATGGCTGACCACGGTTCAAGTCCCAGACCTGGCAGCTTGCTTTCTCACTGTCTCTCTCTCCCTGGTCAAATTAAAATAAATGAATGAATAAATTAAATTAAATAATTCTTAAAAAAAAAAAACTCCAAAGAATCCAGAGCCTCTGAGTTCTGTGAAATAATAACAAAATATCTAACATTATCTAACAATATCTAACATTATCATGGAGTCTCAGAAGTAGAGAAGAAAGAAGGTAAAATCAAAAAAGTATTTTAAAAAAATGCCTAAAAGTGTCTCCAAATTGGTAAAATAAATAAATGTACATATTTAAGAATTTGAATGAATCCCAAATATGAAAAGTTTAAAGAAATTCATGCAAAACCACACTATAGTAAAATTTCTGAAAACTCAACACGTTTTCAAAAGTCAAAGAGAAATGACACATTACTTATTAAGAAAAACCAATTTGAATTACAGAAAATTTCTCATCTGAAACCATGGAGGCTAGAAGGAAGTGGCACATTTTTCATACGCTGAAAGAAAAAAGCTATCAAGCTTGAATCTAGTAACTGATAAAACCATTCTTCTAAAATAAAGGGAAAATTAAAAAAAAAAACTTAGATAAGAAAACAGAAAATTTGTTGTAAACAGATCTAGCCTTTTTTTTAAATTTTTATTTTTTAAGAGATTGTTGCTATAGGGGACATGTGCTTGCTGGAGAGACAGAATACGAGAAATCCCACCCCTAGGGGGATGACAATGCCACAGTCCCTTCTCCCTCATTCTTCTCTTGGGATTTTGGGCATGCACACACACGTGCCTGGCATGTATCAAGATGATATGGGTCTGTGGGCATGCACACACACATGCCTGGCATGTATCAAGCTGATATGGGTCTAGGACTTAAACTGCTGTCAGCCAAGCGGGAATACCGTGCCTTAACCACTATGCCACCTGCTGCCCCATCAGGTCTATCTTAAAAGCATGGCTTAAAGAAACTCTCTAAATACACAGAAAATGACAGAGGGTAGGACCTTTACAAAGGAAAGAAGAATAATGTAACCCATTACGCTAACTGCTGGTCCCACATAATAAATTGTTTTTTAAGAATTATTTTATTTAGCTTTATTATTTAGTTAGTTTACCAGAGAGGGACAGAGTGAGAAAGAGAGAGAAAGTGAGAAAGCAAACCTTCAGGTCCAGGACTCAAACCACAGTTGACCATGTGGGAGTCCAGCATTCTTAACCACCACACTACCTGCTAGCTCCCAATAAATTATTTTTTTGTATGAGGTTTTTTAAAAAGAATTATTTATTTAATTTTATCTGTTCATTCACTTCTTTTAATTTGACCAGAAAGAGACAGAGAGAGAGAGAAAGAGAGAGAGCGAGAGAGAAAGTGAGAAAGAAAGCCACCAGGTCTGGGACTTGAACTGTAATCAGCCATGTGGGAGTGTCCAGCACTTTAACCACCATGCCACCTGCTAGTCCAACTATGAGTTTTTTTTAATCATATATATTAGGAGTAGCTTTAATCATATTTTCAGGAGTAGCTATATTAACATCAAATTGAGTTGAGCTCAGAGCAAAGAAAATGACCTATGACAAAAATGGGGATTACTCAATGAAAAACAATCTCCCCATCAAGAAAATAAAAGCAGGGGACCAGCAGATGGCATAATGGTTACGTCACTGGACTCCCACATAGTCAACTGCAGTTTCAGTCGTAGACCCAGTGGCTTAAAACTCATACCGGGCGTGCGCCTGTGTGAGTGTGTGTGTGTGTGTGTGTGTGTGTGTGTGTGCAAAATCCCAAGAGGAGAATGGAGGAGAAGGGATTGTGGTGTGGCCATCCCCTAGGGGGTGATTTTTCGTTTTCTTTCTGTCTATCTCTGTCTCTCTGGCAAGTGCATACACCCTAAAGCAGAAATCTCTAGCTTGTTTCCTAACTTTTTCTCTAGCTGTCTCTGTCTCTCTGGAAAGTGCATGTGCCCTATAGCAAATTAAAGAAATAATAATAATAAATAAAATTAAATAAAAAATAATTTTAAAAAATAAAGAAAATAAAGCAATACTCAGGGCCAGCAGGTGGCATGGTGCTTAAGGAGCTCAACTCCCACATGGCTGACTGTAGTTCAAGTCCTGGACCTGAAAATCACACCAGGAGTGTGTGTGTGTGTGTGCGTGTGTGTGTGTGTGTGCACATGCGCGTACACACCAAATCCCAGGAGAATAGAGGATAAGAGATTACAGCATGGCCTTCCTTCCCGGGGGGATAATTTATCACTTTCCTTCTCATTGTGTCTCTTGTGTGCACACATGTCCTATGGTAAAAACCTAAAAAAAAGAAAAAGAAGAAGAAAACAAAAAAGAAAAAAAGAAAGTAATACTAAATGTTTATGCATCTAACAACAGAGCTTCAAAATACATGAAGGAAAACAACGGATAGATCTGAAAGAAGAAATAGACAAATTCTCAATTATAGCTGGAAACTTCAATATCCTCTTTTCAGCTAGAGCTACTGTACAGAACTAGAGGAACTATTAGACAGCAAGGATACAGAATAACTGAGTAGTCCCCCCAGCCAGTAGGATCTAATTGACATGTATAGACCATTACATTCAACAACAGCAGATACACATTATTTTAGGGACCCATGGGCCATTCAACAGGATAGATCACACCAGTGTTGTAAAGTAAGCCTCCACAAATTTAAAATATCTGAAATTATACAGAATATTTTCTCTGACCATGATGAAATCAAGCTAGAAATCAATAACAGAATAACAAGAAGAAAACCTTCAAACACTTGGAAATTAAATGACATACTTCTAAATTACCTACACGTCACAGAGGAAGTCTAAAAGTAAATTGAAAATACATATTGAATAAAATTAAGATACAACATTATCAAAATTAGTGGGATGGGGGCCAGCAAGTGGCATGATGGCTAGGGCACTGTACTGTCACCTGGCTTACTGTGGTTCAAATCCCAGACCTGGCAGCTTGCTTTCTTACTCTCTCTGTCTCTCTCTGGTGAGCACATGTGCAAATTAAAAATATATATATATATTTAAATAAATAATTCCTTAAGAAGCATTAGTGGGATGTAACTCAGTGCTAAGAGGGAACTTTATAGCACCAAATACTTGGTGTATGGTGGGTTTTTCCATGTAGGTGTGTAAATATACTCTGATGTGTGCACATGAGCACCTCTCCTAGTGATGCGTGTCTTAGAACGTCCCTGTTATTAAGCTACACATGATAGTATGTATGGAAATGTAAAGATCCTAAAATAGCCTAAACTATTTTTTTCTTTAAGAGAGGTTTTTGCGGACCAGCAGTTAGCGTAATGGCTATGTCGCTGGACTCCCACATACCGTGGTTCGAGTCCCGGATCTGGTGGCTTAGAACTCATGCCGGGCGCGTTTGCATGCGTGCCCAAGATCCCGAGAGGAGAATGGAGGAGAAGGGATTGTGGTGTGACCATCCCCCCTGGGGGGTGATTTCTCGCTTTCTGTCTCTCTGTCTCTCTCTGTCCGTCTGGCGAGCGCACGCACCCTATAGCGAAAACCTCTCCAAAATAAATAAATAAATAAATTTTAAAAATTTAAAAAGAGAGAGGTTTTCGCTATAGGGTGCGAACCGCAGTCGACTACGTGGGAGTCCTGCCACATAGCCATATGCTAACTGCTGGTTCCCAGGCTTTTAATGTTTACTTTTTTTTTTTGAGAGGCTTTTGCTATAGGGCACGTGTGCTTGCCAGAAATACAGAGAGAGATAGAAAGCAAGAAATCAACCCCTGGGGGGGGATGGCCACACTGCAATCCCTTCTTCTCCATTCTCCTCTGGGGATCTTGGGTACGCACACACATGCGCCCAGCTTGAGTTTAAGCCGCCAGGTCTGGTACTCGAACAATGGTCAACTACCTGAGAGTCCAGTGACATAGCCATTACGCCAACTGCTGGTCATGAGCTTTTAATTTTAATGAAGTACATTTTAATAATTTATCTCTTGGGTTTGGCATGGCAAACCCTATCCCAGGGATGGCAGCAGGCCAGTCACACAGAAGGCACACAATGAGATAATAATAATACTATGCATCTACCAGAATGAGTAAAATTAAAAGTAGCAATGACACCAAATACTGAGCAGGATGCTGAGAAACTGCATCATACAAACATTGCTGATGGGAATGTAAAAATGGTACCGCTGCTCTGGAAAACAATGTTTCCTTTTAAAGCTAAAAATGGACTTAGCACATGATCCAGCAATTGTACTCTTAAACATTATCCCAAATAAATAAACTTTCATGTAGAAATTTATCCATGAATGGTCGCAGCAGCTGTATTCATAGTAACCCAAATCTGAAAACTATCCAACAATCAGAGAATAATTAAACAAACAAACTGATACATTCATACCATGGAATATTACTCAGGGGCAAAAAGGAATGAACTATCGATGTAAGCAACAACTTTGATGAGCTTCAAAGGAATTACACTTAGTGAAAAAAGGCCACATACTACATAATTTATTTACATAATGCTTGTGAAACAAAATAACTGTAGAGGTAGAGAACAGATTAGTGGGTGCCACCGCTTAAGGATATGGGGAGGAGAAGCGTGGTAGGGCTTTAAAGGGGTAGCACGAGGGAGTCTTATAGTGGTGGTATTTACTGTGGTAGTGGTCACACGAGGCTAAAATGGATAGAGCTACCCACATACACACATACAAGGACATAAAGAGATGATTGCATTTATAATGTGAAATCTGAATAAGTGTTATGGTTTAAATCCAATGTTCAATTGCTGGTTTTGCTACTGTACCATAGTTTATGCAAATGTTAGCACTGGGGGAGGCTGGATGAAGAGGACATGTGACCTCCTCGCACATTTTTTTTTTTTTGCAACTTCTGAAAAATCTATAATTATTTCAAAATAAAATGTTTTAAAAATATGTGCATGATTAATATCAACATATCAACTTTTTTAAAGTCTCTTCTAGGCAGTCGATCAGTCAACCAACTTCAGCTGAGTATACCCATGATATGTGGCTTAGGTGTAGAGAATGAAAAAGGAAGAGAATCAAATAAAAAGAATGCACATTACTGCCAGGTAGCAGTCCTAGGAGTGACAAAGCCTGTGGTCCCAGGGATGGCAGCAGGCCAGTCACACAGAAGGCACCAACACATGAATCACTTTCCAACACTCTGAATCCAGGGAGTCATTTGAGACAGAGAAGCTGAAGAAACAGGAGGGAGGAACTGAAAGAATGAGACAATGGATGAGAAGCAGCAGAAGAGAAAGCAGCAGCAGAGGGGGCCGGCAGGTAGCATGGTAGTTAAAGATGCTGGATTCCCACATGGCTGATTGTGGTTTGAGTCCCAGACCTGGTGACTTGCTTTCTCCTTTACCCTTTCTGTCTGTCTGTCCCTGGTCAAATTAAAAAATAATAATAATAACAAATGAAACTAACTAAATATTTTTTTTTTAAAAAAAGAAGCAGCAGAGGAGAGGAAGGAGAGGACACCACAGCAAATGGAGGTGTGGAAAACAGAGGCGGCAGCTGGAGGCTGGAGGTGTGGCAGCAAGCAGAGGGCAGAGCCAGGAGTCTGGGCTAGGTGGCTCGGGTGGCAGCCTCCTGTGCCCCCTTACCTGTACCAAGGCTCCAAGGATTTTCCGGGCTTCCTGGTAGAGCGTCTCTCCATCCCACTGAGAGTTGAGTCTCTTTAGTTCCCTGGCCAGCCGGTTGTGCTCACGGAGGAAGAGGGTGTGGGAAACAGCCAGCAGGATTTGCTCTGAGGCTCGGGAATCTCCTGAAAGCCCAGAAAACAGGAAGATGGGTTCTCCTGGACCAACTCCTTGACCCAGTGACCCAGAGGACCCTCTCCTAGGCCCGTCCATCAGTTGACTTAAGAGAAGTCACATGAAGAGGGATGGGGGTGGGAAGCAAGGAGAAGCAGGTTTGAATCTCGGTTCTCTACATTTACCTTTTAGCTGAGTGACCTGGGCAGGTTACTCCGCACTTCTTAGCCTCTAGCTCCTTATCCGTGAAAATAGGGATAATAAGACCTACCACACAAGATTGTGATAAGAGCTACAAGAGACATACTAAAAAACAACATTTTGTTTATTATGATCCAACTGCCTTCTAAAGAAGGCAGTTCAAATAAATGAGGGGCCTTTTATATGGCAGAACTTCGAAGGTTCTAGAAATGCAGGTTCGAGGAGCCTGGTTAGGCTGAATCCCTGTGAGTGATAAAAGGAGAAGAATCTGGAGATGAGGGCTACAGTGGGGGGAGAGAGGAAATGGGGGGGGTTTGAATAGGAAAGACCAGGTGTCTCTGAAGAGAACTTCGTGTGTCTTCTAATCTTCATGACTGTCTATGACATTCACAAATGCCTTGTGTTGGTGGAAATTTTTATGAGAAATAGAAAAGGGCTTGGTCTTGTGCCTGGGTTGACTTTAAGTTGTGTAGGCACACAAAATCTAAGAGCTCTTTCAGGAGATCTTGCCGACAGGCGGGTCTTTTGCCATGTCAGGGTAGCTAGGGGGTTTGTCCATGGAGAGTAGACTTTTTGGAGGAGGGAAAGCTTCCAGAAACCAGAGACAGAGAGGACCAGGAAGGTAGGATCCTCTGGAAAGAAAAGAGTTGGGGGACCAGCAAATGGCATAATGGTTACATTGCTGGATTCCCACTTAGTCAACCACAGTTCAAGTTCCAGACTTAGCAGCTTAAAACTCACGCCAAGTATGCGTACATGCATGCCCAAAATCCCGAGAGGAGAATGGAGGGGAAGGGACTGTGGCGTGTCCGTCCCACCTAGGGGATTATTTCTTGCTCTCTGTCTCTCCAGTGAGCACACATGCTCTATAGTTCAGAAAAAAAAAAAGAATTGGAAGAGGGTTCTATGCCCAGGTTATAACAAGCCTCAAAAATATACATTCTTCTTAAGCCTGAAGTCCTCTTCTAGAAAATTACCTTATATGGGCTGACCCCATGGCCAGTGATTAAGGGAGCCACATACCATGGCCAACTGCTCCTGACCCTGGCAGCCTGAGTAACATGCCAGATGCCTGTGTGTGTATGCCCCAAATCCCGATGAGTTGGCGACATGGAGGAGAAGGGATTGCAGCATGACCATGTCCCACTGGGGAGGGGGTGCTTTCTCTCTCTTCCTCTTTCTTTATCTCACTCTGGTGAGATAAAATAAAATAGTAATTAAAATAAAATAATAATTAAAAAAATAAAACAAGAAGCAAAAGTAAAAAGATGACCTTAATAAAAGTATTAAAACGGAGAGCAAAGATTCATCAACAAGGATGTTCATCACCCAAACAACAACAAAACACAGAAAAACTAGGAATAACTGAATGCTTCCAATTATGGCTAAGAAATAAATTATGATAACATATGTTATGGAATACCAAGCAGCCATCAAAACCATGTATAGGATCAGCAGGTGGCATGGAGATTAAGGCAGTTGGATCCTACATGGCCAACTCTGTGGTTTGAATCCTGGACCCCACAGCTTGAAAAACACCTGGGGTATGTTTGTCCATGCCCAAAAGTCCTGAGAGGAGAATGGAGGGGAGGGGATTGCGGTGTGGCTATTCCCCCAGGAGGTAATTTCTCACTTTGTCTCTCTCTGTCTCTCTCTAGTAAGTGCATGTACCCTATAGCAAAAAAGCTAACTAAATTGTAAAAAAAAATTTAAATCATGTACAACATGACAGTTACTGGCATGGAGTATATTAAGTGAGAACATCAGTTTATACAGCATTATTTATATTGTGTCATCTGGAAAGTTATGATGTGTCTTTACATAGAAAAACGCAGAAAAATATTGGGACCAGAAGTTGGTGTAATGGTTATGTTGCTGAACTCCCATGTAGTTGAACTGAAGTTCAAGTCCTGGACCCGATGACTTAAACTCACGCTGGGCGCATGTGCGTGCATGCCCAAGATCCTGAGAGGAGAATGGAGGAGAAGGGATTGTGGTGTGGCCATCCCCCCTGGGGTTGATTTCTAGCTTTCTGTCTCTCTGTCTTTCTGGTGAGCGCACGTGCCCTATAGCAAAAACCTCTGAAAAAAAAAAAAAACCAGGAAACTATGTCATGACTTTTTTGACGACCTAATAGTATGGCTCTAATAGTATGGATCCAATTATGTAAAATAAGGTAGAACTATATCTATGACAGAAAAAATACTGGAAAGATAAGCACTGAAATGTTAACAATAACTATTTAAAAATATTTATTTTACTTATTATTATGTATTTTATTTTGGAGGTTTTTGCTTTAGGGTGTGTGCGCTCATGAGAGAGAGGGAGAAAGACAGTGAGACATAGTGAGAGGGAAAGTGAGAAATCGCCTCCCGGGAGGATGGCCATGCTGCAATCTCTTCTCCTCCATTTTTCACCCAGGATCTTGGGCATGCATACACATGTGCCTGGGATGAGTTTCAAGCCACTGGGTCTGGGACTCAAACAGTGGTCGACCATGTGGGAATACAATACCACCTTCTGGACCCTCTTATTACTATTATTTTTTTTAAGTTCGGCATAGGACATCTGTGCTCACCAAAGACAGAGAGAGAAAGAGAAAATGAGAAAGCAAGCCACTAGGTCTAGGATTTGAACTGTGGTCCACCAAGTGGAAGTCCAATGCCTTAACCACCACGCCACCTGCTGGCCCCTATGATGACTTTTTAAAAAAAAATCTTCTGGGACCAGCAGTTAGCATAATGGCTATGTCACTGGACTCCCACGTAGTCAACTGCGGTTCGAGTCCCGGACCTGGTGGCTTAAAACTCATGCTGGGTGCGTGTGCGTGTCTGTCTGGCAAGTGCATGAGCCCTATAGCAAAAACCTCTCCAAAAAAAGAAGAAAAAAAACTTTTTTGTTAAACATTTATTTATTTATTTAGCTATTTATTTGTTGTGATTATCTTTTTTTTTTTTTCTGAGAGGTTTTTGCTATAGGGCATGTGCGCTCACCAGAAAGGCAGAGAGACAGAAAGCAAGAAATCACCCCCTGGGGGGATGGCCACATCACAATCCCTTCTCCTCCATTCTCCTCTTGGGATCTTGGGCACGCATGGGCACACATGCACACATGCCTGGTGCGAGTTTAAGCTGCTGGGTCTGGGACTCAAACCGCAGTCGACTACGTGGGAGTCCAGCAACGTAGCCATTACGCTAACAGCTGGTCCCTATTTGTTGTGATTGTCAAGCCACCAGGTCTGGGACTTGAATCACGGTCAGCCAAGTGGGTGTTCAGCACCTTAACCACCACTCTGCCTACTGGTCTGATGACTATTTTTTTAATTGTGAAAAGCACATGTGGTTGCCAGAGAGAGAAAGGGACAGAGAGAGAGAGCACCACTCAGTGGGGTGTAATCACACCACAATCCTCTTTCCTCCATTTTCTCATACCATCAGGATTTGGGGATTACATGCATGCATACCCCATGCATTTTTCAAGCTGCTGGGGCTGGGATTTGAACCGTTGTCAACCATGTGAGCTCCGGCTCCCAAAGCACAGGGCTTAACCACTGTGATATGGGACCAGTGCCTAATGATAACTGGTACAGGTGGTGGGATTGTATGGATTCTCTTTTTATTTTCTATGTGCCTTTCTAGACTTCTTTATTTTGCTTACAGTGAACACATATTCTTAGATTCTCTATTCACCTGGCTCTTCTGCCAGTCCTGGACCCGCGCCAGAGACAGCAGTGGCTCAGTGTGCATTTCCCCAGAAAGATGGTGAGAAGGGAGCAGTGGTCAGCTTTCCTGGTGCTCCCCTTGCTCCGTTGCTAGCCTAGACTCACCCGCCAGGAAGCAGGGCACTCGAGCGGTGGTGTTGATGAACTCGCAGGGGCTTGGCTTCTTGCTATCAAAGGGCAGATAGGGCAGGCCGTGGTCTGAGACCTCCTGGTTAACGGCCATTAGGCCCAAGGGGTTGCTGAGGTTTCGGAGGCGGCTGGCCAGGCTTGGGTCAGAGCTATATACGTGGCTGGCATCCAGGAAGGAGGTCAGAGCGTTGATCTGCTCTCGGGCCAGGGGAGTGGGGCAGACGAACCCAGATCGTAAGAAAGGCATGCACTTTCCTTGAGTCTTCACCTTGGGGTCATTGGGTGGGAACTGCGGAGAGACCGAGGGTGAGTGACAGGACAAGGGTGCCACAGCTGTGCCCTAGCAACCTCTCCCCAGGGCAAGTCTGGATGCAAACATGCTGATGGTGCCTGGTGCCTCCTGGGATCCAGACACTGACCCCAGATGCCTCCTGCTGACGTTGTACATCCTGGGCTCATGATGTCCTGAAGTTCATTACATCCTGCTGTGCAGAGAGCTGAGGGCAGGGGGAGGGTCCTGAGACCCCTGGATGGGGAGCAGGGCATGACATGGAAAAGGCTTTGTTAATAATTACTATTTTTTTTCTTCTTTTGGAGAGGTTTTTGCTATAGGGCGTGTGCTCGCCAGAAAGACAGAGAGAGACAGAGAGACAGAAAGCGAGAAATCACCCCCCCAAGGGGGATGGCCACGCCACAATCCCTTCTCCTCCATTCTCCTCACGG